CACACACACACACACACACACACACACACACACACACACACACACACCATAACTAGGAAGACATTAAAAAGATATAGCAGATTACATATTATGACCTTAGGGCATGCCCTCCCTCAATACATCAAGACCAAAACAAAGTGGAGGACTTTGGTATATGCACGCAAAAATGGAGACTTCCTAAAGTATGAACCGGAAGGTAACATTTACAATCTATGGAAGTGACTAACAGAATCAACACCCAAGCATCACTCCGATAAATGGGCAGTAATAAAAAGATGCTCATCTCCTTTTCCTCCCCCTTTTTAATTAAAAAAAAAAAAACTGTTGAATTGAATTGCTCATTTTGAAAAAATGGGCAAAGGATATGAGCCAATCTTTAAAAAAAAAAAAACGGGCAAAGGAAATGAGCAAGAACACAAAATATATAAGACTATTAAACTCACAAAACGATGCCCTATTTCCTTAGCAATCAGAGAACTACAAGTTGGAACAGGGTGAAATTGTCCTTTCAGGAAATGAGTAATACTAAGTCATCGATGGGCCCCAGGTCTCGGGGCAGGTCTCGGGGCTCAGATGGCCCTTCCTTCAGGAAGGAAGCCCGTTCTGACACCCTAGCTGGGTCAGGCGCCCCCCCCCCGCCCCAACCGGGTCCCATTGTCCCCTGGGCTCTCCCTTCCCGGCCCCGCCCACTCTGAGTTGTCCTTGTTTGGGTGGCAACCTGCCTGACTGTCCCACTGGACTGTAAGCCCTAGGGAAGTCAGAGCTGTCGCGAGCAGTCCCTGCTTGGGATGCAGGAGGCTTGGAGTGAGTCAATGTCAGTGGGCTGAGGTCCAACCCCCATTGACAGGGAGGGCTCTCTTTGATATCACGCCTCCCTCCTCTCCTCTCTCTTCCTTTCTCCTTCCCCTCCCCCTCTCTGGTTAGTCTCTTCTTCACTGAGCCGGGTCTGGAGTCTGGGAACACAAGAGGCGCCCAACAGGGCCTTGGAACAGAACCACTTGGTGTCAAAGGCTCCCAGGCACCAAGATCCACGCCCCTTTCCGCCCTAAACCTACACGGTCCGCCAGAACCATAGAGGAGCAGTGAGAGGAGCGGCGGGCCAGAGCGGCCGGAAGTGAGTCCCGCCGGCGGTCGCGCTAGCCGCGCCGGCGGCGCGTCGCCTCTATCTCCCCGTGGGATTTCCTTCTAGGCCTCGGGAAAGAGCAGGTGAACTCTGGCGGTGCTTAGACCCCGAGGTAGGGACGAGAGGGGCGCGCGCGGGGTCGGGGAGAGGGGAGGTGAAGGACGCGGGTTGATGATTGGCAGAGGAAGAGGCCAATCATCACGGAGGCTGAGACAAGGCCGGACTGGGCGGGGCGAACGCATCCAGGTGTGCCTCCGGGGGCGGGGCCAACTTCCCGAGTAGGTGCGGCAGGAGTGATAGATAAATGGGCGGGGCCTTAGGGCTCTTGGACCAATCCGGAGTGTGAAGGCGGGAAGGGGCGGGCCCACGGGTTGGTCTTGTGGCACCTAAGGTTACGGAACCCTGCCACCTTTTGGGGTTCACTGTTGTGAGCGGAGTTTCCCAGTGGAGGACGGAAAGGCCAACGACGATGTCGCCACACTTCGTAGGTCCCTAATGGATCCTGGAAAGGGAGAGGAGAGTCTGCCGCAGCCCACTAGGAAGAAGTTTGTCATCCCACTGGAGGAAGACGAGGTCCCTCCTGCAGGGGTAAGGGCGAGGACTTGGGGGCTTTGGCGAGTAAAGGGGGCAGTAAGGGATCCTTGGGATCACGGTGTGAGTTTACGACCTTTGAGGCTTGAGCTGCTTTGGAAAAATAGCCTGCTGTCCTTCGCAGGCCTCAGTTTCCCCATCGGTAAAATGACGTGGCAGGGTGGTTAAAAAGAGGGCCTGATCACAAGTGTGATTGTGATTGGTCAGTGACGGCTTTGCTTTGTTTAATTTTGATCCTTGAGATTGGGTCATATGTTTCCTGGGCTAGCCTTGAAATTGATGTGTAGCTGAAGCTGCCCTTGAACCCCGGTCCTCCTATCTCCACCTCCCAAGTCCTGGAGACTGCAGTGGATCATCCTTTATTTGTTTGTTTGTTTATGTGTGAGTGGATGTTTTGCCAGCGCTTATGTCTGTGCACTACATACAAGTAGCACTGCAGAGGCCAGAAGAAGGCATTGGATCCCCTGGAACTGGTGTGTTGTGAGCCTCCGAGTCGGTGCTGGAAATGGAGCCCAGATCCTCTTGGAGAGCAGCCAGTGCTCTTTACTGAGAAGCCATCTCTCTAGCCCCTTAAACATTTCTTAGCTGGGGGGGGGGGGGTGCACACCTATGCGGAAATAAGTGTAAAAAACCCAAAATAACAACAAAAAAATGTTAGATCCAAACTCTTGAAAATCTAGAATACTAGTCATACAAAACACAAAGCAGAGTTTAGTGTGGTGAAACACACCTGTAATGCTCTGTCACTTGGGAGATGAGTCAAGGGGGTTGATGCAAGTTCTAGGTCAGCCAGACCTACCATAGCAAGACTCTGCCTTAAAAGAAAGAGAGAGAGAAAGAGAAAGAGAAAACAAAGGCGGGCAAGATGGCTTAGTGGGTAAAGCTGTTAGCCAGCAAGCTTCATGACCTCAGTTCAATCCCCAGGACCCACACCAGTGCAAGGACAAAACCGACTCTGCCGGTTACCCTCTGACTTTCACAGGAACTCCATCTCACTCACCCACACCTGTACACACACCATGAAGAAGGATTTGTTTGAGACAGGGTTTCTCTGTGTAGCCTTGGCTGTCCTGGACTTGCTTTGTAGACCAGGCTGGCCTCAAACTCACAGAGATCTGCCTGCCTCTGTCTCCTTGAGTGCTGGGATTAAAGGCATGAAACACCAAAGCCTGTTGATGCTGTTTTTGTTTTGTTTTGTTTTAAAAAAGGGATTTTCTGCTCTTCCAGGGGACCAGGACCCAAGTTTAGTTCATGCTCCCATGCCAGGCAGCTCACATGTAAGTCCAGTTCTAGGGATCCAACACCCTGTTCTGGCTTCTATGGGCACACACACCTGAACACATGTGGCAAACACTCACACACACACACACACACACACACACGTAAATCTTGATTAAAAAAAGAAAAAGAAAAAAGAAAGGTAAAAAGAAATCGGAGTCAGGCATGGTGGCAAACACCTGTAATCCCATCATTGAGAAGGCTGAGGCAGGAGGATTGTCATAAGTTTCAGGCTAGCTTAAGCTACATAGTGAGACCCCAATTCAAAACAGGCTAGGTGGTGGTGGTACACACCTTTGATCCCAGCACTCAGGAGGCAGAGGCAGGCAGATCTCTGAGTTTGAGCCTAGCTTGGTCTACAGAGTGAGTTCCAGGACAGCCAGGGCTCAGCCAGGGCTACACAGAGAAACCCTATCTCAAGATGGAACAGTCGTCACTTATAGTGTTTTTTTCACTTATAATGAAGCATCTGGCCACAAGAACTAGTGAGGGAATGGGGCCCTGAGGACAGCTGACTGGAGGGGAGGCTAGCCCAAAAGTTCTGAGGTGACAGAGCCTGAAGAGTCACAGAAGACTAGTGAGGCCAGAGCAGAGCAAGGCAGGGGCGGCACACACAGGAGGTGTGTTTTCCAACACAGGGCAGTAGGGCCGGACCTACGGCATCATGGCCTCCCGAATGCTGGGATGACAGCTGTGTGCTACTGGGCCTCTCTTGGGGCTTTGCATATGCTTAGGCATGCACCTCACTAATGGAGCCAGAACCCCTGGAAAGCATCTATCTGGAAGGAGGACGATCAGAGTCGGAGGTGGGAGAGGATCCCAGTGTTCCTTCCCAACCCCCAACCCTTCTTTCAGAAGGTCAAGCCCTTGTTCAGATCTTCACGGAACCCCACCACCGCCCAAGCGGCCCCTCGGACCTGTCCTGAGCATGCCATCGCCCAGCCTCCAGGAAGGGTTGGGGCCGAAGGGCCCACAGGCTCCGAACCTGTGACGGGAGAGAACCCCAGCCAGATCCCCAAAACAGGAGCAAAGTCCAACAGCATCATCGTGAGCCCACGGCAGGTGAGGGGGCAGGTGGGGGGGAAGGTGGGGTGCCGGGGTTTCTGGTGGGAGACCCTGTTACAGGGATTAGTGGGGCGAACAGTGGGAGGCAGTCGGAGGATCACACGGTCTGTTCTCCGCAGTTGTTTATCCCTTCCTCATCACTCATCACCTTCTTCATCTGTTAATTCCTTCCCGCATTCATTCATTCGTTGATATATCCACTCTGTCATTCGTGCATTCATTCATTTCTTTATTTGTGCATTAATTCCTATGTGCGTTCGTTTGCTAGGTCATTCGTACATACATCCCATCGTCACTCCTTCACTCAAGCATCCATCCGGTCCTTCCTAGAGACCCCAACATTCATGCAGTCATTGATGGGCTTGTGGGTTTAGGGTGCCCCGGCCCTCCCCGCTAGGGCTGCCACTCTCTTTAGGCAGCTCTGCTCCTGTCCCCAGGTTTGCTCATTTGGTCAGAACCTATGGGGTTCGCTCAGGTAGTGAAACGCCTGCCGCCCAAGAGTGAGACTGGCTCTTTATGTGGGTGTTGGAGACCCCCACTCAGGTCTGTACTTTACTGTTGTTGCCACCTTACCAAATAAGCCCATAATTATTTATTTCTTTAAATAAAGGTTCTCACTGTGTAGCCCTGGCTGTCCTGGAACTCTCTGTAGACCAGGCTGGCCTTGAACTCAGAGAGCCACTTGCCTCTGCCTCCCAAGTGCTGGGATCAGAGTTGTGTACCACCATGCCAGCTGCCTGATGTCTGTGGTAGCTTGAATGAATTACTTCATGCATTCATTCATTCCCTTTCACGTCCATTCATTCCTTTCTCCATGCATTAGCTCTTCCATCCATTGGGTGCCTAGGGTGTCGTGGCGTGGGAAGGGGCAGAGGATGGAGCTCCTATAATCTCTTCTACGCTCCCACCCTCTAGGAACTCCCATGTGCAGGGAAGCTTTTGAAGTTAGTGCTTTTGGGTTATGGTAGGCTATGACATAGGCTCGAATTGATGCCATCCCTAGTTGTTGGTGACCATTCAGCCTCGAGCTCCTGCCTTCCCTGAATTGTGAGCGTGGGTACCAGTGTCTGTTCTGAGGCAGATAGGAGCCACTGAGTCACCCGCGAGTGCACAAGTGTTCCCATCCCCCCAGGAGTCCCTCCGGGCTTAGGAAGTCCATGCCAGATGCTGTCACTTTGGAAATCCCAGCAGTCTCAAGAATCAGGTCACAGTGCATGTAGCAGAATCCACAGGCTTCAGGAGGGCCAGAGCTGGACCTGAGGGCAGAGTCCACCTGTCCATAAGAACCTGGCCCAGTCACCACTGTGTTCCCGTGGGGACACAGAGTGTGTGCTCAGTGCTTCCTCGATGCCTCAGAGCTTGGCTCACCTGAGCTTTCATCTCAGGCTGTTGAGGATGTTCTCAGGGAGTGGAGGAGGGAAACTGGACAGGGGCATTTCTCCTTCCAGCGGCACTGGGGAGCAATGGTAGCGCTTAGATGAGGCCCCTGGTTATCATTTGCCAGGTGGCCTCAGGAAACTGTGATAGTAGCCTCGGCCACGGAGGTGCTATGGTGGCAGAGGAGGGGTGTTGACAAGGTCCAAATTCCACCAGAGAAGGAAAAGAAAGACACAGGACAGGACGGGCCTGGGGCTTTGGATGTGGGGCCCTCTGTAGGAGTGGCAAGTGTAGATCTTTCTCAGGTGGAGGTAAGGGCAGACAGCAGGGTGGACTGATACTGGGACAGAGGCTGGAGGGGGCTGGGGTACTATGGTGGAAGCCTGGGGAGGGGAGAGGGAACAGGTTCCAGGCTGAGGAGTGTGGAAAGAAGCTGGAAAAGACCCAGGAAGCTGGTGGGCCTTAGGGAGGGAAGAGGTGGAGGAGCTAGCCTTCGTCCATGTCCAAGGGTCACCCTGTAAGTGGCTTTCACCTTTCTCCCAACAGAGGGGCAACCCGGTGTTGAAGTTCGTACGCAATGTGCCCTGGGAATTTGGTGAGGTGATCCCTGACTATGTGCTAGGCCAGAGCACCTGTGCCCTTTTCCTTAGGTGAGCTCTGGGGCGCCTGGAAGGTGAGAGGGTCCTGACCCACAGTTTTGGCATTTTGAGCCATTCAGCGGGAAAAGTAGAGTTCAGTGTTGTGGGCTCTGGACCTGAGCATGGCTCTTTGTTGAAGGGGTTGTGGCCTCCAGTTGTCCAGAGCAAGAGTAGCTGAGGCTGGACTCTAGGCTGTGAGGGAGGAGGGCTGGGCCTAGACCCTGGATTTGAAGAATGGAGGCTGGGGCCTGGACTTCTGTATCTGAGGGAGGCCTGGGGTCTGTATTCCTTGGTCTGAGGGAAGAGGGCTGGACCCTGATTTGAGGGGAGAAGCCAAGTGTCCAGCTCCTGAGAACACCACAGCTGGCTGCCCTTACCAGCCATGGACCCTTCCTTGAAATCTATCCTAGTCAGTTGACTTTTCTGGGTCTCTAGCAAGGATAGGTCCCAACCTCTGCATGCCAGTGAGGATAAGGATGTCTGGGGTCTCAGATGAGACCCTTGACCTGTTCCCTTCCCTGTCCACGCCAGCCTCCGCTACCACAACCTCCATCCAGACTACATCCACGAACGGCTGCAGAGCCTGGGGAAGACCTTCGCCCTCCGAGTGCTGCTGGTCCAGGTGGACGTGGTAAGCAGCTGCCTCGGCTGGCATCACTCTCTCCATGCAGTGGGAGCACAGAGCCTGACGTTTACGGCACAGCTGCCGAGTCCTTTTAAGACAAAGTACCTGTTAGGGCCTCATCGAGCATTAGATTTTCACAGCTGATTGCCACAGGTCTCTGAGGAAGCCTGCACGGGCTGGGAGGTAGGAAGGAAAAGTTGTCTAGACACAGACCTGGTGGTGCATTCCTGCCATCCAATCCCAGCACTCTGGAGACTCAGGCAGCAGAATCATGAGTTCCTGAGCCAGTTTGGGCTACAGAGTGAGACTTTACTCAAATAGAAATAAAAGATAGGGATTTCTAGCTCAGCAGGAGAACACCTGCCTAGAATCTCCCAGTGAGGGGCTGGGGTGTGGCTCAGTGGCAGAGCCCCTGCCTAGAATCTCCCAGTGAGGGGCTGGGGTGTGGCTCAGTGGTAGAGCTTTTGCCTAGGATGTTTAGTTCACAGTATTGCAAGTCATGTCCCTTGAAGATCTTGTTCTTCATCTGTCACCACAGTCTGTTATGTCAGATCCTCAATTTCTCCATGTTTGTAGTCCTGGCCACCATCAGGTTTTTATTGTTGTTGTTAATTATAGGCAGAGTCTCACAATACAGCCCAGGCTGGCCTTGAACTCCTGACAACCTCCTGGCCTAGCTTTCTGGGTGCTGGCATTAAAGTTTAAGCCTTAAAGACTTTTTTTTACATGTATTTGTTTTTGTTTGTGTGTGCATACATGGAACACACAATCCTAAGTCAAAGGGCAATTTTTGGGGGTTGGTTCTCTCCTCCCATGTAGATCTTGGGGATCAGACTCAGGTGGTCTAGCCTGAAGATAGGCACTTTCACCCACAGAGAAGTGATGCTCACGAGGCCCTGTGCATACACTGTGGGCTTTTGTTTTGGCATGGCTTCTCACTGGGACCTGGGCCACCACACCCAGCTTTTATCCATGGGGACTGAACTCTGGTCCTTGTGGCTTTACCAACAGTGCCGTCTCTCTCCAGCCCAGCTGTTGGGTTCTTACACTGTAAATCCCTGCTTTGTTCCTGGCTCTCTACTTGTGACTTTCTCTTCCAGAAAGATCCCCAGCAGGCCTTAAAGGAGCTGGCTAAGATGTGTATCCTGGCTGACTGCACCCTGATCCTGGCCTGGAGGTGAGACACGGGTCCCTCCCACCCAACCCCTGCTCCAGCCTGTGTGGTCATTCCTAACCTGGCTTGGTAGCACAAGCCTATAATCCCAGCAGTGGTGAGTCCAAGGCCAGCAGGTCAAGAATTCAAGCCATCCTGAGCTGATGAGACCAGAGGCCAGAGAGAACCAGGTTAGAACTAACAACTGAAGAAACTCTGCATCTCAGAGGTCATCTAATTGGTTCACCATCAAAACCACAAATAAATAGACCATTTGGGGAAGAAGAAGGGGGAAAAAAAAGACAGCAGCCTTTCCTCACACCATGAATAGAACGAAATCCTGGTAAATGAATAGCTTTCAATTTAGAAGGAGAGTTGGCAAGAGTGTGTGCACATGTTGGGGCTGTCTCGGTTGGCAGAGCTTCATGGCACTCAGGAAGCCCTGTACTGCATAACCCGGGCACAGTGGCTTACGCCTGTAATCCAGCACTTGGGAAGCAGAGACAGGAGGATCTTTAACTAAATAAGCAGTTTAAAGCTAGTGCGATGTGTGAGATCCTGTCTCAGAAAGAAAGAAATCTTAGGCCAGCCCAGTGAGGTGGCTCATGCCTGAAATCCCAGCACTCTGGGAAGGAGTCGCAGGCGGACCACTGTGAGTTCAAGGCCAGCCTGGTCTACAAAGTGAGTCCAGGACAGTCAGGGTTACAAAGAGAAACCCTGGCTGGGGGTAAAAAAGAAAAAGAAATCTTAGGCTAGATGTGGCGCTGTACATCTGTAATCCTAGCACTTAGTAAGCTGAGGCAAGAGGATCATCATTCAAGGCCAGGCAGGGATACATAGTGAGACTCTGTCGTGGAGGAAGGGACATAAGAGTGAGATGAGGGGCTAGGGGTGTAGGTTAGTGGTAGAGCCCCTGCCTAGAATCTCCCAGTGAGGGGCTGGGGTATGGGTTAGTGGTAGAGCCCCTACCTAGAATCCCCCAGTGAGGAGCTGGAGGGCCTGAGTGAGAAGTAGGGTGTCTAGCATGTTCAATATCCTGGGTTTCTTCCCCAGCATGACTAAATAACGTGTGAGAACCCACCCCACGGGGTTCACTGCTGAGGGCAGGAGTTGGGTTGGGATTGGCCTCTTTTTGGAATTTCGCAGTCCTATGAAGGAGTCCTGAATGACAGTCCTTGCCCCAGCTGACGTGTGTCCTGTCACGCAGTGCAGAGGAAGCGGGGCGGTACCTGGAGACCTACAAGGTGTATGAGCAGAAGCCCGCCGACCTCCTCATGGAGAAGCTGGATCAGAACTTCCTGTCCCGCGTAAGACCGCCTCCCCTCCTTCTGCACCTCCCTATTCTGTACCCTTTAATGGCTTCTAGGCTGAGCGTGGTCCTTCCCAAAGGAAGTCCATCCATGCCAAGGCCTCCCTCCCCTGTCCAGTCCTCCCTCATCCTCTCCCACCAACCCGAAGGGTCTTTTAAGAGCAAACTAGACCTGTCCCCTTAACCTGACCCCTAGCCTGCCCTCAATAGCTACCTCCTATTTCCACTGCTGGAATCCATTTCCCAGGCCAGCCCGATGCTTCCTCCCCCAAAAGCCCTCCTTCAACCCCCTCAGCCTAGCAGAGCAGAGTGCCACGCTGGAACCACGTTGGCCCTGCTGACCACTGCACCCCAGAGCAGCACGCAGGGGCCACTTGGGTGTTATTGTGTAAAGGAATTGGTATTTTCAGCTCTAAGGCAATCTGCTCCTGAGCTTTACCGGCCCTACAGTGAGTTCACCATTACCCCAGAGGGAGAAGAGACCTGTCCAACATGGAGCCAGTGTGGCCCTGCCCTGCTCACCCGGCCGTGTTAAAAGTCAGCTGTGGCAGCAGCCACCTTTATTCCCAGCACTAGAGAGGCAAAGGCTGGTGGCTCACCGGGGATCCTGAGCTAGCCTGGTCCACCTAGTTGTAGGCCAATCAGGGATCTATCTAAAGACTGGGTCTCAAAAAAGTGCATCACCCAGAGTGTGTCCCGGGAACTGAACTTGGGGCCTCTGAAGGGCGGGTGTGTTCATAATCACCAAGCCAGCCCCACTTTGTTGCTGTAGACCAGGCTGGACTCAAACTTGTGGGACTCCTCCTGCACCTGCCATCTAAAGCAGTGTAGTGTTCACAGGCGGCCCCTAAGCCCAACTCCCAAGACAGCACTCTCCCTCTCCCTTCCAGGCCACTGAGTGTCTGACAACCGTGAAATCAGTCAACAAGACGGACAGCCAGACCCTCCTGGCTACATTTGGAGTAAGAAGCCTTTAGGCACTCCCTCCTCACTTCCCAGCCCCACTCCTCCCCCAGGGACATCCTAGGGCCCCTGCACTGGGACAGGTGAGGGTTTAGCTTACAATGCCCTGAACCCTCCGTTCTACCTTTCAGTCCCTCGAACAGCTCTTCACTGCATCAAGGGAGGATCTAGCCTTGTGCCCTGGCCTGGGCCCCCAGAAGGTAAGAATTCTAGGGGGATGCTGCTGGGGTTGGGAGCAGGAATGAGCCCCAAATCAACAGACTCTGAGGTTCTAATAAGTGGCTGTTGTTTGTAGTGCCTAGCTGGCCGGGAGACAAGGCTGGGCCTGAACTCAGCTCTGCCGATGGCTTCTGCTGAGATCACAAGCAGGCCACCGTGCTTTTAAGGCTCTATAAACCTTTTTCCTGGGGGTCAGGATATGTAGCTGAGTTGGTAGAGCATTTGCAAAGTCCTGACTCTAATCCCAGCACTGTCTAAACTAAGTTTAGTGAGTATGCTTCAGCAGTTGGATAAGGTATGAGGGTCCAAGCTCAAAGCCATCCTTGGGGCCAGCCTAGGATGCGTGGCACCGTGTCTCAGGTGCAAGTAAGGTTTTTTGGTTGGTTTGTTTTATTTACCTCATTCCTTGAGACTTTCTCAGGTAGCTCAGGCTGGACTCAGTATGTAGCTGAGGCTGGCACTTGACTTCTGATCTTCCTGCCTTAGCTTCCCAGTGCTCAGATTACAGGATGTGTGCCACCCTCCTGCCTTATTTATCTATTTATTCAAGACAGGGTTTCCCGAACTTGGTCTGTAGATCAGGCTAGCTTCAGACTCAGAGATCCACCCACCCCTGCCTCCTGAGGGCTGGGATTAAAGATATGCCCCACCCCCCAAAAAAAAAGCTTAAAAAGATCTTTTTGAGTTCGAGGCCAGCCTGGTGTACACAGCGAGCTCCAATACAGCCAAAGCTACACAGAGAAACCCTGTCTCGAAAAACAAAACAAAAAGATCTATGCCACTATAGTGGGCTAGTTTTATAGCTCTAAATGGTCCACTTACACCTTGACTGTCTCACATGGGGAAACCGAGGCCCAAAGGCAGGAGAACCCACCTTCTGTCCAGCCTCAAGTAGAACCGAGAAACACCCCCCAAAGCTCCTGCAACCTAGGAGAGTAAGAGCCACAACCCATTCCAAGCGGAGCAGGCAAACAGCGCCTTTAATGACCAGCTCTTCTCCCCATGCCCCCAGGCCCGCAGGCTCTTCGATGTCCTCCATGAACCCTTCCTCAGAGCTCCGCATTGACCCGCTGCCATGAAGGCCCAGCATCACAATAAAGCATTCCATGCCCAGGCTCCTGTGTCGGCTTTGGGGTAGGGATTGTCTCTGCCATTGATTTCTGACAACCTTCCTGGGCTCACCTCAGCCTGCCAGTTCCTTGGTTTCCCCACAGCGTGACTAGGGCTCCTGCTGAAGCTTCCTCTTTTGCTTCTTCTCCTGTCCTGTGGGAGACATCTCCCAGTGGGGAACGGTGTCTTGCACTCCACTTTACTGATCCATCTTCTTCTTGGTGGATCCTTGACCTGCCCTGGCCTCAGGTTCCTCAGAATCTATTAGGTCAGTCACCTCGGACCTTGACTCTGTTTCCTTCTGTCCTTTCTCTTTCTTTTTCTTGCTGGGTGCTGGAGTCACCTGGGGCTCAGGGTTGGCCGGAAGTATAGCTTCTGTCACCTCTGCCCCCAAGGGCAGTGCCTGATCCAGCCACTTTTCCTTTTTCTTCTTCTTTGTCTTCTTGGGGGACACAGGAGCTACCTCAGCTTGAAGCCCATGTTCTGAAATGTCAGGCTCCGTGATCACTTCAGGGAGGCCCATCTCTGGCTCCATCATCAAATTCTGCCTCTTTTCTTTTCTCCGCCTCTTTGTGGGTGTTGGCAGAATGGTCTCCTCCTGGGGTTCCTGCAGCTGAGGGACCACAATGGTGCTGTCCATTTCAGCTTCCTTTTGCCTCTTTCTCTTTTTGGTGGGGGAGAGGACAGTCCCCTCAGGAGGCTCTGTTTGAGCCCCAGGTTCTGTGTGCCCTGGATCCTCTTCCAGCTGGAGTGTCTCTGCTGCCTTGAACTTCTTCCTCTTTTTGCCGCTGGTGGCAGATGGGAATGGCAACTCTGCCATCTCTGCCAAGGGCTCCATCGCCTCGGCCTCCATCATCTCTACCTCATCTACCCGATGCTTCTTTTTCTTCTTCTTCCTCACTTCCGTTCCTAGGTCACCCCCGGCTGGGTCCACCTCCATGGCCCCATGCCCATTTACCACCTCCTGGGCAGCTGAGGCCTCTGCGCCCTTTTTCTTTTTCCTCTTTCCTGAAGTGGGTGACCTCAGAGGCAAGGCTGACCCAGGCCCAGTGACTGGAAGGCTGCCTCCGAAGGCAGAGAACCGAGGCCGCAGGCCAGCAGGGATCCGAGGTGGGAGGCTTGTGGGGATCGGCTGCAGGGGGACCCGAGAGATAAGATATTCTTGAGGACCCTCCATGATCCTTAAGCTCCCACAGGGGGCTGGGGCGCATGTGAGTCTGCCTCCCGCCTCCACTGACAATGCTAGCATGCTGGCGTCTCCGGCCTGGGGGCTGCTGGTTAACACCCGGTACCGGTGCTTCTTGCCGTCCAGTTTGCCCTTAACAGTCTTCGAGCCAGAGAGAGGCACGCGCCGCCCATTGAGGCTGAGGAGAGAGGGAGAAGCAGTGGCTGGGGAGATCTCTGTGCAATGGCAGGGTGGGGCTGGAAGCAGCTTTTCCGGGCTTGGGCACAGCTCAGCGCTAGAGCCCTGGGTTCCCGTTCCCTGTTTCAACCACCCAACCAACTTCTGGGGGTTTGTGGGATGCTAAAGCGTCTGACCAACCTGCACCACCTCCTCCCAGGTACTGCAGTTAGACATGCTGCCACCGCTGGCTTAGTATTTCTAAGCACATGCTGGCCTTGAAGTCTACCATTTTCCTGCCTCAGCCTCCCAAGTGCTGGGATTATATCTGATCCCCGCCATTACTGGCTAAGTGATGTTTAAGCGGACAGGCAGGGGACGACCCCAGACATGGAGTGTGTCTAGCATGATCAGGTTCTGGATTGGATCACCAGTTCTGCATAAAACTGGGAATGGTGGCTGTACTTGGTGGGGAGGGGGGGGAGGCAGGAGAATGAAGTTTAAATACTACATGAGCTATAAGATTCTTCCACACAAAGCAGCCTGTGGCACCCACTTGTAATCCCAATACTAAGGAAACTGACCCTGAGGGATGCTGGGACTTAGAAACCAGCCTGGGCTACAGAATGAGACTGTCTCAAAACAACCCAAAGCACCACTTCCGGCTTGCTCAGAAATGCCATCTAGCCCAGTGCTGTTGGCGCACGCCTTCAATCCCAGAGAACCGGAGGCAGAGGCAGGTGCCTCTACAGAGCGGGTTCCAGGACAGCCTGAGCTACACAGAGAAACCCTGTCTCAGGATTTAATAAAAAAAAAAAGAAAAAAGAAAAAAAAAAAGCCGTCTAATGCTCTGGTCTAATGCTCTGCTCACGGTCTACGGTGGGGTCGGCCTCTAGAGTGGGGGGCTCTTCCCGGTAGGCGGATCACTCACCACTGTGGGGCGAAGTCTGCAGGGGCTCGGATAAGCCACAGCTCTGTGTCTGGACCTGTCAGAGCTTCCAAGGAGAATCGTGGGGGATCCGAGTCTGGGGACATCTCCGTAAAGTGGGGAGGGCAGGAGAACCGCGCGGCGCCTGTGGGGAGCATCAGGGCGTCCGTAGGCCCTCCGCCTCCCGGGGCGCCCCCGCCGCCCTCCCCGCAGCCTCCTTCGCGCCCGGACCCCCGCCCCACTCACCGCAGGCCGGGGCGCCCTCCATCCCGACTCCGGGCGAGCCACACAGGACCCCGGGGAGCGCTGCCCACCACGTGGACCCCAGGGGCGGAGCCGCACGCGGGAGCGTCCACGCCGCGAGGAGAGGAGGGGCGTGGCCCGGCCCTGTCACTCGAGTCCCGAACCCGGCCGAGCTCCGCTTGGGAACGTCACCCAGCAGAGGAGCGGCGGGTCTCCGAGCACCCGCTACCGGAGGAAGCGGTTCTCCGTCCGGACCGGGAGCCGCTCGGGATCTCGGAGGGCCTGCTTCCCCGCACGTGCTCACGTGGTTTCCTCCAGCACGCTCCCGAGGGGCAGGCACCCAGCCGGGCCCGCTCTTAAAGAGACAGGAGAGCGCTGCGCACCGTCCCTGGAAGGGCTAGGTAAGGATCCCGGTTGCCGCGGTGGTGCTCTCCAGGCTAGGGCGTGTCTTGGGTAGTCCCTGGCGCGGCGAAAGCGGGAGGCTGGAGCGAGCCGCGTCAGGAAATAGAGAAACGCGAGGAACCGGAGCCTTCGAAGTACGGGCCAAGAGGCGGAGCTTCGGGAGTCCGGGGGGAAGCGGGAAACGGAGGGGGAGGAGCCGCGGGGCCAGGGGAGGAGCCTCGGGCCCCGGAGCCCCGAGCGTGGCGTTGGTCACGTTGTGGAAGCCCTCGCGGACTTAGGGTCCTCGTGGGAAGTCTTCCCCACGGCTGCGAGGGGGGCAGAGGTGCAGCGGCCGACCCCTCCCTGCGCTAGTAAACAGCGGCACGTGGGCCCGGGATTTGGGGGCCGCGCCCACGCCCCTTCCCAGCAGGACAGCAGCGCGTGGGGCGGCGGGCGGGTCCGTGGGCCGGCGGCGAGACAGGGTGGCCCGGCTGCATTCCTGGCCGGTGTGTCAGCGTGGCGTCGCGCCCCGCCCCTCGGCGGAGACTTCGGAGACTCCTCCAGACCTGGGAAACTCCCTCTCTTCCGCGGCTTTGAGAATGCAGAGGGGGTCAGTGTTGCGGGGACGCGTTCCCTTCGCCCGCGCTCTCCAGACCGTGCGTCCCCCAGCGCGTGGGGAAAGACTTGGGGACTCGCCCTTTGCGGCTCCGAGACTCCAATTCCCAGCGCACCCGGGGGTGGCTGGCCATGGACGTCGGTCACGGGGGCTGCTGGGGATTGTAGTCCATCCCGTCGCTAGGCACGCCAGTAAAGCGCCAGTGCTATGTGGTTGTTTTGTTTTTGAGACAGGGTTTCACTGTATAGCCCAGGCTATCCTGGAACTCAATATGTAGACCAGGATGGCCTTGAACTCGCAGAGGTGCTCCTGTCTCTGCTTCCCAAATGCTAGGATTAAAGGCCACTTATTTTTATTTTACTTAGACAGGTAAGCCGGGCTTGGAGTCCTGATTAAGGTGGGGCCTTTTCTCGCCGTAGAATTGGGTCGTGTGCATTTCTCCTTGCCTCTTATCTCCTACTCCTTAAGTGTCTAAATCTTCACTCGTACAAGGGGAGACTGAGCCTGGACGAGTAGGGGAGGGCTCAGGAGTTCTTCCTCTGCACCCACAGTGAGGTGGGAGTCTGGACTGTCGGGCATTTCACCGTCCAGGGCGCCCTGAATCAGGGCCTCGCTCTTGCTGACTGTGAAATGGATCGCGCCTGACTCCAAATGGAAATCTCCCTGGCTGCGCCCCGCCCCTCCGGGACTACAAATCCCAAAGTGCTCCAGGCCACCGCAGCTCCCCCTCCCCTGCGGGACACGCCTCCCCCAAGTCAGAGTCACGTCGTCTAACCTGTTCCCAGGACACTGCCCCGCCCCGTCCTCCGCTCCCCGCCGCCGGAGCCGGAGCCGGAGCCCGAGGAAAAGACCCCCGGTGCCAGGATCTGCCCCGACGCGTGAGTTCCACTCCGACCCGAGGTCCAGCCACCCCAGAACCCGGCACCGCGTCCCTGGGAGGGCTTGATGGAAACTAGGACCTTCCGTCCCGGGGAAAAGTGTGGGGAGCTCACGCCAGGGTCTCCGGAAAGAGGGAACTGGGGTACCGGCTTTAGTGGGCTGGTTGGGTGGGGGCTCGGACACCTGAGATCTCGGTGGTACTCGAAGCCTTTGGTCCTGGGTAGATATTGGAGCTGGAGTTCTTGAATACTTTAATCAGAGACTCTAGGAGCTGTCTCTGTGTGCTGTTGAGGGTCTCGGATCTCTGAATTTTGGGTTCCTGTGGAAGGTTAGGACGTTCTAGAACGGTTGGGCGCCCGGTCACCCTTCAGCTGCCTTCAGCACCAAGCCACTAGGTCTTTGCGTAAAATTAGTGACACTGGGCTCGTGGATCCTGGTCTTTGAACAGAGTGGGACAAACACGTGGGGCGTGGGTCCCTCAGGAGACTGTCCCGGCGTTACACCTCACCTTCTGGTTGTGGGGTGGGGGCAGGGGGAAGAAACAGGGGCAGCTCTCCAATCTCTTCTGTGCCGCTGAGCGAACCCCAACATGTCATTAACTGGGGCGTCAGACCTGCCTAACCAGAGGAGGCAGTCCACCAAAGGGCGCCCCCTGTGGGAGACGAAGATAGGACCTCTTATTGCCCCATAAGGGTGGGAAGTAGCTGGGGTCATTCTAGAGCCCGGGCCGCAATAACAGGACCATGGGCTGATCTGAGAGGTTTGTGTGGCCATGTACTGCCGCATTTCACAGAATGGAAGGCCGGAGGCCGGCGGGACATACAGGCAGCTGAATCTGATATCTCTTCCCTCTTGTGACAGCTGTCTGTGCAAGGACTTCCTCACTCCCACCAGACTCTAATTAACCTTCTTCACCCCCCTCCCTAGGGGTGGGGTTCCTTGCCCTGACCCAGAGGTGAGAAATGTCACCTCCGCTTCCATCTGTCTGACCTGAGGTATTGTAGGAGATAAGGGAGGGATGAAGGCTAAATCTGGAGGTGTCTGTCTGTCCTTGAGCCCGGGAGAGGGCAGAGGCAGGCAGGAACCTCCCTCCGTTTCTCCACCCCTGGGCCCTGGGCCCTTAAGTAGGGGGGATTACAAAGCTACTGGGGAACAAGCATCTGCAGAGGGAGGGTGTTTGTTAGTGCCTGGGCTGGAAGAGCGCTGGGTGACAGCCTGAAATGAAATTAAAAATAATAGCCACAGCTGCCAACACAGGCTGTGTCCTGCCAGTTCCCATCAGGAGGGAGCATTTGGCAATCACCCAAAGGTAGGAACAGAGAGTTCCACCTTCAGTGGGGTTCGGTGACCCCAGGGAGGACTCCTCCCTAGCAGTGGGGAGACTGAGGCTGGCAAACAGACACCTCCCACATCCTGGGATTGTGCCAGTTTCTGTCTGGCTCCCTCCAGGGCTCTCATCCCCCCCATCGTCCCACATTCCCTGGGACTGTCACTGTTTCGGGTGGGAAACTTGGGGTTCTGTGGTCCAAGAGCTCAGGCAGTTGAGTCCACTGGCAACAGAACCCAGGGCTCTTAGCACCACAGAAAGAAGGGGTTGCTGTGTGGCTCAGTAGGTAGAGTGCTTGCCTAGGATTTGGGAAGCTTTTATCCCCAGCACTGGGGAGATGGAGGGAGGAGGATCCGGAGTTTAAGTATAGCAGGGACTACATGAGACACTGTCAAAGAGAGGGGCCGGGCAGGGAGAGGGAGAGAGAGAGAGAGAAACAAGCCTTTAATCTCAGCACTTGGGAGGCGGAGGCAGGTGTATCTTTCTACGTTTTGGGTTCAGCGTAGTCTACATAATGAGTCTCAGACAAGCCGGGGAGACACAAACTAACCAACCAGCCGAAACCCTCACAAAAGATAAGACACGTGGGTTTTCATTGTCACTCTGAACCTTCCTGTGTGTTGATTGACACCACCCCCCCCTCAGGGACCTCCCTCACCCTCAGGGACTGTACTCAGACCCTTGTGCAAGCTACATAAGCACTCTATTGCTAGGAGCTGAAGTTCAGCTCCTGTTTGTTTGAGACAGAGTCTCGCTTATGTAGCCCACGGTGGCCTTAAACTAGTGACACTCCTGCCTCAGTGTCCCTAGAGAACCGTGGAGGGAGGCCGGTTGAATAACAGTCCAGCATGTGGTATTCGGTCCTTAAATTGCACTGTTGTCAACCCTGTATAATTTAGGTCCTCCAGCACTCACGCCTTATCTGGGTGATGTCATTAATTCCCCCACAGTACACGTGAGGAAACAGAGGGACAGAGGAGCACTCGCAGTAGCTAGCAGTTTAGCTAGGGGAAGTCCCCTGCCCATCCCACGGATTTAAAAATCAAGACTGACCCGGCTTAGGGTGAAGGATTGCATTCTGCGTGTTCCCAACCCATCTCGACACTCTGACCGGGATCCCACTGACTCCTCCAGGAAGTCCAAACAGGATCCTTCAGCTCTGAGAACCGGGCTGGAGTACATTGGAGGGCAGGCAGGGAGACCTAAGGGTGGAGCAGAGACGGGAGCCAGTTGAACGGAGAGCTAGAATTGGAGGGGAGCCCAAGGAAGAAGACCTGAGGCAGAGGGCAGGGGCAAGAGCCTGGGAACAGATGTGTGCCGCGCCCACCGGGCCCTCCGCGCTCCCCTGCTGGCCGGGAGCCGTGCACCTGCCCGGGCTCGCCTCGCATTCCCAGGACCTGAGCTCAGGGCTTGAGCGCGCAGGCGCGTGCGCCCCCTGGCGGTCCGGGTGCTCCTACCATCCACACCAGCCTTGGGAACAGCCTTGCTCCTTCGAGTTATCCGGTCCATAATGGTGCAGTTGCCAAAAGGTCCACCTACTGTCGGGTGCTGGGAACGGAATTCCTGGCCCCTGGAAGAACAATAAGGCCTCTTACAGGCCGAGCCATCTCTCAGCCCTTGTCTGTGTGCACAGGAGGGCCTGTGCCTGCGGAGCTGCAGCTGGAGCTGGTGTATGCAGCTGTGAACCGGACTCTGGTCCCCCACGCTATAAACGGTGGAGGTACCTCTCCAGCCAGCTCTTTCTGTGTAGCTCTGGCTGTCTTCAGACCTGGGCCTTTGAAAGCTGGAACTACAGGCGTGTGCCACCATGCCCAGCCCTTTATTTAAACTTTTATTTTTGAGATAGGGTTGTCCAGGCTGGCCCCTTCAATGTACTCTGCTGCCCAAACAGACCTTGAACTCTCCCTCATTTTGTATCAGCCTCCTAAGTAAGCTGGCCAGTGTGCCTAGGCCTCCCTAGGCACTCTACTTTCTGAAGCCTGGATTCTCACAGCCCGCAGTGCAAAGATGGTTCCACTTGCACCATCTTTGCACTGGTCCATTGAGGTAACCTGTTTATCTTCGTTTTACAAGGTAGGCAACTGCGGCACTCTTGTCAGGGCGTTCCAGAGTTTAACTCTATCTCTGGCTGCTCTTGGACCACTTCTTGAACTTTGATCTTATTTTTCTAATAACGGCAGGCAGAGCTCTACTGTTAAGCCATGCCCCCAGTCCCTCTTTGGGGCATTCTAGGCAGGGGTTCTACCACTGAGCCACACCCCAGCCCCTCACTTGGGGATTCTAGGCAGGGGCTCTACCACTGAGCTAGATCTCTGTTTCCAGTCAGACGTTTCTCTCAGTAAACATGTAAGCTTTGGGTTCGTCTTTTTAGAGCGTCACCATCTCAGAGTCCTTACTGGATATGGTGATGCATGTCTGTAGCCTGGGCCACAGAGAGGCAGGAGGAGCCATTGGTGAAGTTCCCAGCCAGTCTGGGCTACAACAGTGAGACCAAATGCCACGTCAGATTTCAGAATGGAAGCCTCTTCGAGATCAGAAGGGCCTTTCAGAGCACTTAGTTTACGTCTCCTGCCCTGTGGGAAGTCTTAGGAGGAGTCAGGGAGTCTCAGGCCCTAAGGGTGGAGAGGACTCAAGGTCACACATGCTCAGATGAGCCACCAGCCCAAACAAGTTCTGCTCCTCGTGGCTTCCCAGACAGAGACTGGTGTCAACATGTCCCAGCCGGCCCCCTGCCTACGCCTTTACAGCCAAAAGGTGACAGGGATGGCAGGCGTGGCGGCTGCCACGGGAGCAGGATGGCTGGTGTGACTGGTTCCCAGGGGCCTCGCCTCCTCCTGCTGGCTGCTGACTGAAGCCTGGCCCTCTCTGGCCCTGTCACCTCCCTCTTCCTCCTCTTAACAGTGGGGCAGTGGGGCGGTTTGAGCAGGGCCTCTTGCAGACAGTGACTCTCAGAGGAAGCACTAACCTCACCGCCCCCTGGGACACCTCCGAGTTTGAAACAAACATTGCAAAATGACCAGTTAGACCCTGGTGTGAAACATAGTCTGAAGGACTTCTTGTATGTTGACTCTGAACACACATTTCTCTCTCTCTCTCTCTCTCTCTCTCTCTCTCTCTCTCTCTCGCTTAATCCTATTTTGAGACTAGGTAGACCATGATGGACTTGAACTCACAGAGATCCTCCTGCTCTGCCTCCCAGGTTAGGATTAGAGGCATATGCCACCATGCTCAGTTCTTTTTTTTATTTTTATTTTTAATGGTTTGTTTTGAGACAGGGTTTCTCTGTATAGTCCTGGCTGTCCTGGAATTCACTCTGTAGACTAGGCTGGCCTCTGACTCACAGAGATCCACCTGCCTCTGCCTCCCAAGTGCTGGGATTAAAGGCATGAGCCACCACACCCAGCCCTTTCTTTTCTTTTGCTCTTTGAGACAGGGTTTCATCTTGTCTAGGCTAACTTCCAAATTGCTGAGTGGCTAAGGATAGTCCTTACTGAAGATCTTTTTACCTGGTCCTCCCAAGTGCTGGGATGGAGGGCTGTACCAAAACATACACCTGGCTTTAAGCTGTCTGAATTGTATTTTCTTCCTTACTAGGGAGGTGCTTTCTGGAGAGATAGCTGAGAAGTTGGGAGCACTTGTTGCTCTTGCAGAGGACCCGAGTTCAGTTCCCAGCACCCACATGGTGGCTCACAACTATTTGCAACTTCGGTTCTAAGGGATCACCTGGTCATGATGGGCACCACAAGCAGGCAGACTTGCAGGTGCTCGTGTAGAGAAAATAAGAAAATCTAAAAATAAACAAAACCCAAACCTAACAAAATTATCATGTTGTACAGGCCTGTAATCCAAGAGTCCTGAAGGCCAAGGTAGGCCAAGGATTCTGCATTTGAGACCTACATAGTTTAAGACTATATAAAAATTTCCAGTCCACATTAGAATACATAAAAAAAAATCTTAACATGGAAAGTAAAAGAAGGCTGGTGTTGTGATTTAATGCTAGATTCCCCCAGTGAGGGGCTGGGGTGTGGCTCAGTGGTAGAGCCCCTGCCTAGAATCCCCCAGTGAGGTGCTGGGGTGTGGCTCAGGGAAAGCATTTGCCTAAGTGTGCATATGGCACTGTATTTAATTGCCATTACAGAAATAAGCAAAACAACAACAACAACAAAATCAACAACAAAACATCTGGTAGTGTTCCTGGTCCCTAGTAGACATACATTAAAACAGTTAATTATTTCATTCTCAGTTCAAGAGCATGTGATGGGTGAAGGGTAGATTCTTTGTCCTGAACTTTCTAGAACCGGTCTGGACTTCTAGGTAGCTTATGGACAGAGTTCTGAAGGAACTAAATGTCTGTCGAGGGCCCCACCTTCCCTGGGTGGGCCCTGAAGGGGCATGGCTGAAGGGTCTGAGCCAGTTCTCCCTCCTGGCAGGCACCCTGCTCCGGCACCATGGACAGCGAAGCATTCCAGAGTGCGAGGGACCTTCTGGATCTGAACTTCCAGTGTGAGCTGGGGGGGGGGGGGGGAGGAGCAGGGCCGGGGGGGGGGGGGGGGGACGTAGGGGGGAGGGCCTGACCTTCACTCCTGCCCACCCAGCACTGGCCATGAAGCACATGGATCTGAAACAGATGGAGCTGGACACGGCGGCCGCCAAAGTGGACGAACTGACCAAGCAGTTGGAGTCATGGTGGTCAGACTCGCCAGCACCTCCTGGCACACAGGCCGGCGTCCCCCCCAGGGTGAGCCTAGTGATCCCCACCGACCCCACCCTCCCAAGCCAGCTTTTCTCCATGCCCTGGGGAGGCTTGAGTGTGTGAGGTGGTGCAGGTTGTGGGGTAAGCAAGACCGTCTAGGAGGTAGGAACAGCTAACTATGGCCAGGAAGGCTGAGGCAGGAGGATCAACTCAAGGCCAGCCTCTCTACTTCATAAAGAGTTAGGCTAGGCAACAGGGGAGGTGAAGTTGGTAGAATGCTTGCCTAGCACGAAGGAAGGTCTGGGCTTCATCCCTGGTACCGTTTAAAGCCAGGGCTTGTGGTGTACATATGAAATCCTGGAGCAGAAGAGGCAGGCTGGCCTGGAACTCACTCTGTAGACCAGGCTGGCCTCAAACTCAGAGATCCGCCTGCCTTTGCATCCCGAGTGCTGGGACCACGCTAGACTGAAATATATTTTTAAGTGGGAAAAAAGTGAAAGCTCATATGAAGGAAAGGGCCTTTTCTTAAGTCGTAGAAAAGTGCCAGCAACAAGTTAGACCCCGTCCGCCCCCAAGCTTTGCCAACACTCAGCACCTGCCCTCAGCGGACCTAATCTGACCTCCCGCACTGACTCCTCTGAGTTTTTGACGCCCCGATTTCCCCACAGATGTCCAGGTATAGCACCAGCCCTGTCCCCGAGCCTTTTGGCAGCAGAGGGTCCCCGCAGAAGATAGCCGCGGATAGCACAGAGGCCCGTTTTGGACGCTCGGAGAGTGCCCCGTCCCTGCACCCCTTCAGCCCTCTGTCCCCCAAGGGCAGGCCATCCTCTCCGCGCACCCCCATCTACCTGCAGCCCGATGCTTACAGCAGCCTGGATCGCGCGCCATCGCCCAGACCGCGCGCCTTCGACGGGACAGGCAGTCCCCACGGCCGGGCGCCATCCCCGCGGCCGGGGATTGGCCCGCTGCGGCAGCCGGGCCCCCCGCCCCCCTTCGACTACCTGGGCCGTGCAGGGTCCCCCCGGGGCAGCCCTCTAGCTGAGGGTCCCCAGGCCTTCTTCCCGGAGCGTGGACCTTCCCCACGTCCGCCTGCTACAGCCTATGACGCGCCGGCCGCGTTCGGGAGCCCCCTGCTGGGCGCGGGTGGCAGTGCCTTCGCCCCGCCGCTCCGTGCACAAGGTACACTGGGACCCACTCTTCGGGTGGTTGGTCCGAGCTGGCCTATGCTTACACCCTCGCTCACGCACCCTTTTCTCCAGACGACTTGACGCTACGGCGGAGGCCCCCAAAAGCCTGGAACGAATCTGACCTGGATGTAGCCTATGAGAAAAAGTCTTCACAGACAGCAAGCTATGAACGTGAGTGAAAGGTGAGGGTACCCTGGGAGACGGAGGTCCAGAGTCCCTCGTGACAATGCTTATTTTGCAGGGCTGGATGTCTTCACGCGGCCTGCCTCGCCAGGCCTGCAGCTCTTACCCTGGAGAGAGAGCAGCTTGGACGGGCTGGGGGCCAGTGGCAAGGTGAGGAGTAGGTGGGCCACAGGGGGGTGAAGGTGGAGGGTGCGTGCGTGTGTGCGTGTGTGTGTGTGTGTGTGTGTGTAGTGGGGACTGGCCTACAGTCAAGGCAATCCTCCTGCCTCAGCCTCTCCTCCTGGGATTACTGGCATGGGCCACCACACACACATCCCTTCCTTCTCTCACCCCCTTGCCCTTACCTGTCTTCATTCCATTCTCTTGCCTTCCCTCCCTCCCCCTTGCTCTCTCTCCTACCCAGGACAACCTCACCAGTGCCACATTGCCACGCAACTACAAGGTATCCCCTCTGGCCAGTGACAGGCGTTCTGACGTTGGCAGCTACCGCCGCTCTCTGGGTTCAGCAGGGCCCTCGGGTACTTTGCCACGCAGCTGGCAGCCCGTCAGCCGCATCCCCATGCCCCCCACCAGCCCCCAGCCCCGAAGCGCCCCACGCCAGCGTCCCATCCCACTCAGCATGATCTTTAAGCTCCAGAACGCTTTCTGGGAACACGGAGCCAGCCGGGCTGTGCTCCCGGGATCCCCCATCTTCTCCCGAGCACCCCCATCTAAGCTGCCTCCCCAGCCACCCCCTCAGCCCCAGCTGCAGCCCCAACCTCAACCTCAGATGCCCCCCCAGTCCCAGGCCCAGCCTCAGACTCCAGCACCCCAACAGACTTGGCCTCCTGTGAATGAAGGTGAGTCAGCTGAGGGCGCATCTCAGAAGGCTGGGCAAAGGAAGGAGAAATGACGGGGGCCAGAGCAGCTGGGGAGCCGTGACAACCAAACCTGACTCCAGACACTGTCCCTGCAGAGAGCTGGGCCGGATAAAGATGGGAGACAGGAACACAAGAGACAGGGTTACAGACTGGTTAAGCAGAATTCACGCAGAGTAGCCTCAGGCAGGTGCTTTAACCTGTCTGAAAGTTGTTTTCCCTGAGTGTAAAAACTGAATCATGATAAAGTCCCATCTATTAGGGACAGCGTACTAAAGCTATATCCATTCTTGAAAATAAGGCCTTATGCCCAGTAAGTAGAGCTTGCCCATTATACCACAGCTGACAGGGTCCTTTAGCACCAGGTCAGTGGAGTGCAGCCAGCAGCACGAGCCTATCCAAACTACTGGCCTGCTATATGATTCAGGGTAGATCCTGGTGGTGGTGGCAGTGTAGTCCTTTAATCCCAGCAGTCGGGAGGCGTACACAGGCAGATCACTGTGAGTTTGAGGCCAGCCTGGTCAACAAAGCGAGTTCCAGGACAGCCAGGACTACACAAACCCTGTCTCTTAAAAAAAAAGGAAATCACCCAAGGCTCTCTGAGCCTGTTTTCCCACCTGTGAAAAAAAGAGAATAAGGTCTACCTTATAGGATCGAGCCAGAGGTTGGGATAAAGACTGGTTAATATTTCCACCTGCTGAGACACTCCTGTGGAGAAAGGGGATGGAACAGAGGGAAGAAATCATTGAATAACAGGCCAGTGAAGTCTGGGTTTTCTGTGTGAGATGTTAGGAGGTGAAACTCTTAGGTTCCTAGAAAGCCAAGTTTATTGTTGTTGGTAGGAGTGCATATTCGAGAGCCAAGCAGCTGTGTGATTTTGGGCAACTGACTTTCCCTCTCTGAACTTTAGATTCCTTTCCACAATATGATCACCTATTTCTTCAAAATGTAGGAAGTGATGGACTGGCATAGGACTGGGACCATGCTTAGTGGATTGAATGTCTAGCGTGTCTCCTGGGTTCAATGTCCACCACCGTAAATACATAAATAAATCTGGTGTATAGGTGCTCAGTAAATGGTAGATATCATAATATTATATTATGTACAGCCCAGAGTACTAGAGAGGGTAAGAGACTGCCCTGAGGTCACACAGCAAAGGAGCTGGTTGCATCTCGGAAGTTGTAGGTATAGGAAACTCCTAGCTACTCTTCCTCTAATGGGGTTCTTGTTCCTGCTAGGCCTCCTCAAATCCTCTGCCGAGCTGGAGCCAGAGCCTGAGCTAGAGGGGCTACTGGCTCCTGTGCTTGAGGCCGGGGATGCAGATGAAGGTACCGTCACTCGGCCCCTCAGCCCCACCAGGCTACAGCCAGCACTGCCACCTGAAGCACAGACTGTACCTGAGCTGGAGGAGGTGGCCCGAGTGCTGGCAGAGATTCCTCGACCCCTCAAACGCAGAGGCTCCATGGAGCAGAGCCCTGCTGTGGCCCTGCCCCCCACCCACAAGAAACAATACCAACAAATCATCAATAGACTCTTCCATCGGCATGGTGGCCAAGGGCCCGGGGTCCCTGAGCCAGAGCTGTCCACAATCACAGAGGGATCTGAGGCCCGAGCAGGACCTCCTGCTCCTGCCCCACCAGCTCCCATCCCACCCCCAGCCCCACCCCAGAGCAGCCCTCCAGAGCAGCCTCAGAGCATGGTAAGTCACAGGAGGAGACTGGGATGTGTGCTCATCTCTGACACAGTTGCTATAACAAAAAGGCCTTCACCATGTAGCTGTTTAAATGAGACCTACTGTGGTTCCCAGGCTCCATCCCAGGGCTTACCACTATTCATAGCCAAGATGGCACCAACCATTTTGCAAAGCCATTTTGTGTAAATAGGGCTGGGCCCAGGGAAAAAGGGAGAGTCTGAATGGATAGAGGGGTGACTAGGTACCTTGGTTTTATTTGCCTGTGCCTCAGCATTCCTTCATGAATCTCAGTTTTATACCTGCAATTAGTCTGAGTTTTTGGTGTGACAATAGGTTTACCTGAGACCTGGAGACCAGACAATCTCTGGTGCCTACTTTTTCTGGGTACCTACTCTGTCTTCTTGTGAAAAGTTTCTGGTCCCCAAGACTTTGGTTATCAAGATTTATGTGCACCAACTACAGAGTTTTCATCATAGCCCCAATGCTACTTACTCAACTGTGCATTCTAGAACCAGGCACTTAGCCACTCTGTGCCTCACTTTTCTTGTCTGTAAAATGGGAATGGAAATAGCAGTAGCCACCTGATAGGTTTGCAGTAAGAATTGACTGCTTCCTGGGGTGTAACTGTTGTTAACACTGACCTAAAAGTTGGTTCCTGCTATTTTTTGTTTGTTTGTTTGTTTGTTGTGTGTATTTGTTCCATCTTTTATTGATTTGACAATAGCAACTCAAAAAAAGATATTTTTGGCTCAGTTTGAAGGTACAGTGGTAGGAACAGGAGTCAGCTAGTTATATTAGATCCACAGTCAAAAAGCAGACAGTGATAAATGCTGGTGTAGTCTTTCTTCTCCTCTTTATTCAGCCTATTAGGGCCCTAGCCTGTGGAATGATGGTACCAGTTCAAGTGGGCCTACCTTTATTAACCTAGTCTAGACAGATAACTCTCTTGCAGAACCAGCCAAAAGTTTCTTTCCATGGTGGTTCTATGTGTTTGTTTGGTTGTTTGGCTGTTTGTTTGTTTGGTATTGCAAGACAGGATTCTCTGTGTACATTTGGCTACCATGGAACAGGCTCTGTAGACCAGGCTGGCTCCAACTCAGAAATCCCACTGCCTTTGCCCCCCAACTGCTAGGATTAAAAGTGTATGTCACTATTTTTTATTTTTTAATTTATTTATTTACTTGATTTGATTTGATTTGATTGATTAATTGATTGGTTGGTTGATTTTGGTTTTTCAAAATAGAGTTTCTTTGTGGCCTTGGCTATCTTGGAACCAGCTCTGTAGACCAGGCTAGCCTCCAAGTCAGAACAATATGCCTGCTTCTGCCTCCAGAGTGCTGGGATTAAAGGCATGGGCCACCACACCCAGTTATGGTTTATTTATTTATTTTTATGTATATGGATATTTTGTCTGCATGTATGTCTGTGTACCATGTGTGTGCAGTAACCACAGAGTCTAGAAGGTGATTTCAGATCCCGTTACATTGGAGTTACAAATGGTTGTGAGCCAACATGTCGGTGGTGGGACTTGAACTTGGGTCCTCTGTGAGAGCAGCCAGTGCTCTAAACCTCTGGTGAATTCTAAATTCCATTGAGTTATCAATCAAAATTAACTGTCTCTGGGGTTTTGCAGATTTTCTGTTTTGTTTGAGAAAGGGTCTTACTCTCTAGCTTAGTGGTTCTCAGCCCTCCTAACACTGCCCCCCTTTAGTACAATTCCTCATGTTGTGGTAACTCCCCAACCATAAGATTATTTTTATTGCTACCTATAACCGTAATTTTGCTACTGTTATGAATCATAGTGTAAATGTCTGTATTTTCTCATGGTCTTGGGTGACCCCTGAAAAAAAACATTGTGGACCCAAAGGGGGTCTTGACCCACAGGTGGAGAACCAGTGCTATAGTCCAAGCTGTCCTTGAACTCTCTTCAGTCCTCCTGCCTCAGCTACCCAAACGCTGAGATTATGTGCATGCACTGCCATTCCTGGTTTACAGAAATAATTGCTGTGAAGACCACCCCCTCCATGGCCTTCTAGCTTCATTCCTCTAAGATCTCAGGGCTCAACATTCCCAAGTCACTGGATGACCTGATAGTTGTAAATAGTTCAGGGAGGTGTGGCCAGTCCTCCCTGCCCTCACACCTCCGTGCCTGGGTGTGACTCCTCCCAAGCTGGTCCATGCCTGAGCCCTGTTTTCCCCTCTGAGCCGTGAGTGGGCAAGCCTCGCTGAAGTCCCGCCCTGTCCTGCAGGAGATGCGCTCAGTACTGCGCAAAGTGGGGTCCCCACGCAAGGCTCGGCGAGCGCGCCTCAACCCACTGGTGCTGCTGTTGGACGCAGCGCTGACTGGGGAGCTGGATGTGGTACAGCAAGCGGTGAAGGAGGTGAGGTGACCCCCCCTCCCCCCAGGTGAGGAGAGCACAGGCTGACAGGCGGGCTGAGTCCCTTTCTCCCTGGTGTTTCCAGATGAACGACCCAAGCCAGCCCAACGAGGAGGGTATCACCGCCCTGCACAATGCCATTTGCGGCGCCAACTACCCCATTGTGGACTTCCTCATCGCTGCGGGCGCCAATGTCAACTCCCCTGACAGCCATGGCTGGTGAGTCCCCAATGTGCACCTGCCAGGGAGGTGGATGGGACCTTGGCATCGCGAGGGGAGGAGCTGCTGGCTGGGGGACCTCCCTCTCACTCACCCTCCGGCCACTAGGACACCGCTGCATTGTGCCGCTTCGTGCAACGACACTGCCATCTGCACAGCGCTGGTGCAGCATGGTGCGGCCATCTTTGCCACCACGCTCAGTGACGGCGCCACCGCCATCGAAAAGTGCGACCCTTATCGCGAGGGCTATGCGGACTGCGCCACCTACCTGGCAGGTACGTGCGGGTGGGGGGGACTTGGGAGCTGCGTTATTCAGACTGTACGACCCAACTCATTCCACCTGAAGGGGCCGGCGGTGGAGATGCTGTGGTGGCTGCACACCTGTGATCCTAGCACTCAGGGAGGCAGAGGCAGGCGGATCTCTGTGAGTTCGAGGCCAGAATGGGCTACAAAGCGAATCCAGGACAGCCAAGGCTACCCAGAGAAACCCTGCTTCAAAAAACAAAACAAACAAAAGGAAGGGCAGTATGGTGCCCTGGCCAGTCTGCTGGGAAGCCCCTTAGAGGCTGGGGCACTTGCAGCACTCAGACGCCTGAGTTCCCACTAGGTCTCTCCCGGCGTCTGCTTGTGCTGTAGGTAGACATTAGGGGTCGTGGAGCAGAAAGGTTTAACATTCTGTGAGGTAGGGACGAGGGCCAGGGTGTAGCCCCATTCCCGAGGCTGGAGACCAGCTAGAATTATAGAGAACCTGTCTCGGAAAGAAGGTGTGGGGCGGAGGTAGCTCAGCTGCAGGTACTTGCCTAGCGTGGTTGAGGCCCTGGGTTCTAGCTGCAGGAACTGAGTGAGGTGGCCCACCCCTGTAATCCCACAGCTTGGGAGGTGGGGCCAAAAGACTGAAAATTCAGCCTCGTTCTTGGTCGTATGCCTAGTTTGAGGTCAGCCTGAGACACCTTAGAGCCTACCTATCTTTATTTATTTGTTGGTTTGTTTTTTCCAGACAGGGCTTCTCTGTGGAGCCCTGGCTGGCCTGGAACTCACTCTGCACACCAAGCTGGCCTCGAACTCACAGAGATCTGCCTGCCTCTGCCTCCCGAGTGCTGGGATGTGCCACCACTGCCCACATGACCCGACTTATCTTTAAAAATTAAAAGTTAAAGAGAGAGATGAGGATCTGGAGTAGTTGAGAGTTGAGAGCACTGGCTGCTCTTCCAGAGGTCGTGAGTTCAGTTTCCAGCACTGACAGGGCAGCTTACAACTCTCGGTAACTGTCGTTCCATGGGATCCTGTGTCCTTTCCTGGTGTGCAGAAAAAGCACCCATATAGATAAAATGCATAAATAAGCAAATCTTTTTTTTCTTTTTTTTTTTTTGTTTGTTTTTTGGCTTTTGTTTTTTGAGACAGGGTTTCTCTGTGTAGCCTTGGCTGACCTAGACTCATGTTGTAGACCTGGCTGGCCTCGAACTCAGAGATCTGCCTGCCTCTGCCTCCTGAGTGCTGGGATTACAGGCAAAGACAGCTTTCCAGGTGTTTCATCTCTTGGCTGCAGCAGCGGCCACACCTGCCCCTGTCCTCCGTGTGGCTGTGTTCCTGGCCTGACTGCCTGGCCCTGTCCGTGTGGCTGTGTTCCCAGCCCCGGCCTGACAGCCTGGCCCTGTCCTCCGTGTGGCTGT